TGGTTGATGTGATTGTGGACGCCACCGACGCCGGAATGGGAAATCAATAGACCAGGGTGGTGGTGGCGCGGGCTACTCCTGGGAAAAGCACATAGGTAGCATTCCATACATAACCGAGATGTGCGCCCTGCCGCGCCAGCCCTGCCCTGCGCATCGTTTTTCATGTATGTCATAGCAATATTCGCGTCCAGGTAACCGTAGCCTGGGCACATGTTTTGTGTGTGTGTGTGTGTGTGTGTGTGTGTGTGTGTGTGTGTGTGTGTGTGTGTGTGTGACTGGGATGGGAAGAAGTAGTAGAGGGTGATAGGGATAGGAGGGTTAGCCTGCATCAGTATAACCCGAAGCGATTCTGCCAACCATCCGATCTGGGGTTCAGAACCACGCGATAAGGGAACGGATTCGAATCACTCGTAGTAATCGGGGGAATGTGCTCCTTATCGCGGCTAACCACGGCTAAAATCTTCAGGACGGCTTTCTGTAGCATATTCTCCATGGCTTTGCGCACTTTGGCGCGTTCTAGACCCGGCAATCACATGTCAGTACAGGAGGGAGAGAGAGGTAATAGCTTGGCGGATGGGCGTTGAGTGTGGGGGTTTGGGTTGCGTCCATACCAGACTCTGTTCGAGGAGTGGCTATCGTCACATCCAAATTCCACACTTCCCAGCATACTTCTTCCTCGCCCTTCCCTGATAGTCCGCCAAACCAGATTCCCGGTCGTCGACGTCGCTTTTCGTAGAATTCCACAGCCATTCGGGCCCGGACACCCCCGCCGCCGCCGCCATCGGGGGCGCTGGCTGCTGAGGAGTGCTGGCGGACGAGGGAACTCACGCGAGAGTCGATGAGGGTTTCGAGATCTACGTCGTTGATGGCGGGGAGGGTGAAGTCGAGGACGTCGAAGGTGATGGGGCGGATAGAGGGGAAGTATCGGTGGAAGAAGATGGTGTTGAGGATACCTGGTTGTGGAGAGAGAATGTTAGTATTTAAGCTGTGTAGTCGTACAGGGAAAGGTTCAGTGAAGAGAAGAACTGATTCACCTTTTAACACGTCGCGGACGTTGGTTGTATCTGCGAAGATCTCCAGAAAGTACTCCGGGGGCGTTTTGCGGGGCTCCATCTTGATGGGGATAGCGACCGGTGCCACCCTATGTATGTGTAGAGTAATTAACTGAACTCAGCGATCGACAGGCAACAAGTGACTGTCCAGTTGAGTGGGAGCTGAGCTGTCTAGTGGGGAAGAGGTTCCGACGTGTTTAGTCGAAGGATGGATCAGATCAAGTCTGGGGTTGAAGGGGTGGGAACCGGTGATGACGATGACGCTGGCGTTCGGGGGAGGGGGGACAGAGCGGGATTGATTGACTAGGACCGGTGTGGAGAGGTTGACATGGAGAACGGGTTATGAGGGAGGCATGATCTGCTGGGGATACAATCCATGTGTATATTATGATTGTGAAGGTGAGAGGGGGGGGGCTATATATGGAGGAGGAAGAGTGAGAAGATAAAGAAAGAAAGAGAGATAGAGATGATGATGTTGAGGAGGGAAGAATAATGGGGAGTCATGGCGTGTATGTAATGATGGGGTGCCCCTCGCCTGTGACGGTATGATGGCTGTTCTCCTTATCCCTTATCAGCCCTGATAGGGGGCATCCGCACCCGTATCGTCTGGTATTGGCGGTACCTGGCCAGCACTGGCCTGGCTGCCTAAGGTTGGTTCGCATTCATGGTCGGACAGAATCAGGCCGAGATGCAAATGAAAAGAGCAGAACCACCGTGACTTATAACGATGATGCAACTAATTGCGGGGATGAAGTGGCACAAACTATTGCCATTTGGCCTTCCCAACAACTAGCTCACACTCGTTCCTTTCTGGCTACTACTAATCTACAGACCACCATATATCCTCGCATCCGCCATAGCCTGACCCGCTGGTGACGATCATACGTGTTGCTGGCTGCTCTTTAGCCGAGGCCGCTTCAGGGACCCTCGATCCCCGACCGTGCTTGCCGTCGCTCTTCCATCACTCACGCCGTCGCTTCGGCTTTCCTTGTGATTCCCAACCTCCATTATTCCTTTTCTTCTTTTTTCTTTCACTTCATACGATGAACTGTACTGCTCCTTATATCTGAGAAACTGTCCCCGATCCTCTTTGCTCCATAATGATCAGTGCCACTAAGCGCTGGTTCCGGCGCAATCGCAAGGGCCTTGCGATCGGAGCTGGCGTGATCGGAGCGGGCTATCTCGCAGGCCAGTACCTGCTGTCCAAGATCTCAGAGGCGCGCGAGCGCATGAGTAGTGACCGCATTGCTCGGGAGAAGTAAGTGATGAGCCTCCCTTACCTCTACTTATCTCATCGATGTGACCTGCTCGCGTGCTCGAAAACGGTAACTGACGGCTATTGCCTCTTGTCCAGCTTGCGGCGACGCTTTGAACAAAACCAGACCGATTGTACCTATACTGTGCTAGCCCTATTACCGACGGCGGCGGAGGATATCCTCGAGGCACTTCCCGTGGAAGAATTGACCAAGGAGCTCCAGAGGAAGCGTGCAGAACGACTGGCTCGTCTTAACGCTGGGGAAGGAACAGGCTCGGATCTAAGCTCGGTGGGCCCCAGTATAACGGATGATGATCGGCGTAGCTTGTCTAGCTTCCAAAGCGATGGATTTGTCCGTACGAGTCAATTAGGGGAGTCGACCATCGAGGGGGGCAGCTCACCACGTCCGAAGCGAAATAAGACCCAGCTGTGGAACGAGGTCAAGATAACCTGTGAGTATTTCGTATCGTTGTTTCTTTACAGGAACCAAGGAGTCTAACAGACCATCATAGCTATCACTAGGTCGTTTACGCTCATCTATACCCTGACCTTGCTGACCATCTTCACTCGAATTCAACTTAACCTGCTCGGCCGACGCAACTACCTCTCCAGCGTAATCTCTATGGCCACACCCCCAGCGGATGGTTCAACTATTCGACTTGAGGATCACGATGATGACGACCTCACGCAAACACTGGGTCATGACTTTGAGACAAATCGGAGATACCTTGCCTTCAGTTGGTGGCTGCTTCACCGAGGCTGGAAGCAGTTGATGGAGGAGGTGCAGGCCGCCGTGACGGAGGTGTTTGGACCTTTGAATCCCCGGGAGGACATCTCGCTGAGCAAGCTGTCGGAATTGATCCTGCAAGTCCGTGGGAAGATAGAGGGCAAGACCGAGGAGGACAGGAAGTACGTTTTTTTATGAGCAAGTCTCACTGGCCGGATGCTGACCCGTTATTCATCTAACAGGCATCGGAAGTGGTTATCTTATGTGCTCCCCTCGCGAGGAGAGGAGGACTATCTGTTGCAGGAGTCCGGGGTTCTTGGAGTGACGGAACCCGCGACACCTCAAACGACAGCGTCGCTGCGCCATCTCCTGGACGAAACGGCCGATCTGATCGACTCCCCGACTTTCATTCGTGTTATGTTACTCCTCAACAACGAATGCTTCCAGACTCTTATTGATCAATGCAAGGCCGATGCGTTCAAATCGTCCACTCAGGTGCCCACGTCTGTTCCTCAGTCCTTTGACTCGGTCGCCACGGTCGTCCCCGCGGCTGACGGCTCCGACACGAAAACGAAGCTTGCAAATGTGTTGGCCGTCCTGGCTCGACAAGCCCATGTGATCGGAAATGGAACAGCTCCCCCAAACCTGTATCTGACTTCCATTGAACAGGGGGTACGAGAGCTAGAGGCCTTTGCGGCTGTTATATACAGCTCCAACTTTGACTCTGAGCTGCTTGGGACCGATTCAAGGACGCAGCCATCGGGAGCAGAGGCTGGCTTTGATGTTCCTACATCACCTGCCCCAGAGATGATTGAGAAGGAGGATGCCAACGAAGAAGAGCCTACCCCAGGAGCATCAGTCGTAGCAGTGGATGATGACTCGGCGTTTGAGAAGGCATGGGGAAAGGCTGTGGATGATCAACCGTCGAGCTAATGACCGTGTGTGATGATCGTGTGCGGGCTTTCTAGAGAATGTTTGGGAATTTCGGGAATATCTGTGGCATAAATGATCCCTCATCTATCCGGAGTCTCTTCTCGGCGCGGACTGGGAGAGAGATAGTACGATTGTATGATAGCTCGTGGTGGCGAGTATTTATTATTTATGACAAGCTAGCTTATAAGGGTTATGGGTGTTCCAGAACCATTACCGGAAGGGCGGGCATATTGCTAGATTGAAAGTTGAAAGTATCATCGTACGCGTCCTCTCAAATGATCCTCAGGATGTTGGGGGGGGGGGGGGGGACGTGGGACGAATGAAGGGCAGCACATGGCTGGCCAGTGCCACCACGCATGGACCCAAATGATCAGACATGACACTCTTGTCCCGAGCAGCTTCGGAGACTTCTATTTGCGCATTTATGCAGGTTGTGAGACTGGATACGGCATCTGTGCCACCCGGTCCATATCTTCTTGCCCTCTCATTGGACCTCCATTGTGCATTTGGCTTTAGTATGTTGCAGCCTATGAATTTTGTAGTGGCCCGAAAGCAGGAAATTTCGACAGCGCGCAGATACTTTGTTGTCGTTGCGATGTCTATAACTCTCCATTCTATTATGCCTGAAGCTTAGGGAACGAACTGCTCGAGAACTGCCAATTGTGGGGTAGATAAGCTTAGCGAAGGAAGGGATCTGCGGGGAAAAAGGTGGGTTTGGCACGGCTACTATCTACTAATCTTCTACTAGTTGGCCATGGCTGGACTATTGCTTAAAAATACCTACTCTCTATACTCTCTCTACTACTGCGTACTCTCTGCTCCTTCTAGACTAGGTCTGTGAATCCCGGGACAGGGAATGTGCAGACTGGATGGAGCTGACAGCCGGCATTTTTCCCTCCATTCCTCTTAAAACTTTCTCCCCCTCGGCATGTTACATCCGTCCAAACTGGTATCATCTTTGGTTCCAACCCCGATAAAGCCATCATCATGGCCTCAGACTATACAGATAGGACAGCCGGATGAAACCTTCGAGAGGCATAGTCGGGAGGCACCATGGATCGGACAATCATGCTAAGCAATGCCCAGCCTGTCAGGCTATCTGACCTGCGGTTTAGGCCGAAATGGGTAGGATGTATCCGACCCGTCTCATTCCCTCGCTAATGTAAGGCCTCCCGAGTCAATGAGTTAATTGGTCCTCCTCCACTGCCGTGTTCATCACAGCGGCCTGTATAGGCGATTGGTTAGCTTGGATGGTTCGTCAGCCGCCATCAAAGCAGTCCGTATTCACTATCAATCTGGTCTGGCACCCCTGCTTGCCCCTCTTGTGCGGTGTCTTTTCTTCTTCTTCTTCCTGCTCCCCTCTGCGTGGCCAATTGTCGTGGTCCTCTCCGTAAAATAGTATCTCTGCACCTTATCTTGTCTGTTTACGCGCTCTCCGTGACATACATCCCTTGCTTCTCGATTACTGCTGTTGCACCTTATATCTGACGAGAGTACACCCTTGTCAGCTGGAATAATTCGGTCACAACATTTCTACCCATCGTGTCGCAATCTAGCGCAGAGACACAGAAGCATACAATAGTATCCATATTTCCGCCCACCAGTCACAATGGGGTCATCCGAAGGTACAGTTCATATGAATCGAGGTCTCACGAAGACAATAGTGACCTCAGGCTGCGTAAACAGAGTCAATAGATCGCTCTCCTCAGCCCGAACCCGGATTGAAACCCGAGGGCCACATTGAAGCGCTCACATCAGATCTTCCTCCTCTCACCACAACCACGGAGCGCAGGCTCATGGCCAAGATTGACTGGCACATCGTCCCGTGTCTCTGCGTCCTGTATCTGCTTGCTTTCCTGGATCGGTATGTGCCTTCTGCTGTCTTGGTAATAGGATATAATTTTCATAACAGTTTGTGCCTGGTATAGTGTCAACATCAGCAATGCGGCCGTACTCGGGCTCGAGACGGACCTCAACATCGCTACGGGGACGAAGTACAATACCGCGCTCACTATATTCTTTGTGCCCTACGTTATATTCGAAATTCCATCCAATATCTTGCTGAAGAAGTTGAAACCTCATGTATGGTGTATGTATCCCACGACCATAAGCACCGTTGTGCACCGCTTAAAGGGTTACTGATGATGACAGTGTCTTTTTGTATGTTCGGGTTCGGCCTTGTCATGATATGTCAGGGTTTGGTCTCAAACTGGGGTGGATTGATGACTACACGCTGGTTCCTGGGTATGAAGGCAATCGATTTCACCGACATATAACTAATAGAGACGCAGGAATGTTTGAAACGGGCATGTTCCCTGGATGTGAGTGGTCTCTTTCCCAGCTCTAGGGACCTTTCGCTAACAGAGTGCCTCCTAGGCTTCTATCTTTTGGGCATGTGGTATAAGCGCAGCGAGGCACAGAAGCGCTTTAGTTTCTTCTTCAGCTCGACCACGCTAGCGGGCGCCTTCGGCGGTCTGCTTGCCAGCGGTCTAGGAAAGATGGCCGGACTCCGAGGCTACGGGGGCTGGCGGTGGGTTTTCATCATCGAGGGTGTTATCACTTGCGTGGTTGCCATTGTCTGGTTCTTTATCATCCCAGGGTTCCCAGAGGATGTCAAGTGGCTTAATGAGGAAGAGCGAACGTACATCCGGGCTAAGCTGGCCCGTGATGCAGGGAAAGCTGGGCACGATGCTCGTATGGGTTGGCGCGATGTGTTGGCCGTCTTCAAGGACTGTAAGTACATGCGAGTGCCAGAAGGCGCCATACCTTCCTGCATATGCTGACTGAATAACAGACAAGATCTTCCTTGGCGGGTTTATGTACTTCGGGCAGGTTGTCACAGCATATGGTAAGCTTGATTTCCGTTTTAATCTGTGATTATCAGGAAAGTAGTATATGTTAACAAGCTCAGGATATGCTTTCTTCGCCCCGACTATTATCAAGACCTATGGCTACGGAAGTATGTATATGTTGCCACTGAATACGCTGTATACTGAGCTTTTATACCAGCCATCCAAACCCAACTGTACTCGATTCCACCATGGGCAGCTGCGTTTGCATTCTCGATGGTAATCGCAACGTTTTCTGATTTAACCAGACATCGGCTGGCTTTCACTTTGATTCCTACAGCAATTGCTATGGCTGGATTTGGAATACTATTGAATGTGCACGGAGAGGCTCATCGACACGTCCAATACGGCGCGCTCTTCATGGTGACCTGTGGCTGCTATAGTGCGATGCCGGTTATTGTATGTTGGTTTGCTATGAACCTAGGGGGTCATCGCAGGCGCAGCGTGGGCACGGCATGGCAGGTTGGGTTCGGGAACAGTAAGTGACGTCGACACAAAAGCATAAATAGATGACGCTGCTAACATGGTTATCTACCAGCGGGAGGTATCATCTCCACATATGCATTCCTAGCCAAAGATGCACCTGAGTATCGGAATGGCTATATTATTAGTCTGTCCTTCATCTGCTTCTCCGCGGCCTGCTGCATTGGATACTTTGTGGCTCTCTGGGCGGAGAACAAGCGACGAGACCGGGTCATGGCCAATGGCGCCCCCGCGGAGCTGCGAGAAGATGAAGAAGAGGTCCAGGGAGATCTGGCGGTGACCTACCGTTACGGCTATTAAGCAATTTTCCCAATGCAGCTTGAGGATCCTATCTTTAATTCTGGCGGACATCTACATTCTACATAGAGCACGATGTTATTCATAGTTATACCGTAGTAGATAGGGCTAGCTAGGGCTGTCCTTGATAAGACACACGAACAGGTGAAACGAGAATAATGAATCTAAATGCCATTGAACGCATCATAACAACCGAGTCTTTTTTTCTCAATGGTAATGGGTTCCCACCGCATGCCACGGTACTGAAGGTACACGCACCAGGAGGGTTGATGTCACGGGCAAGGCCCAAAGCGGTAATGCCAGTCTCGGTAAAGCAGTGGATGACAATCAGCGAGCCAATCAGCGCCGGCGCAACACTAGCGAGCCCTTAGCGGCATTGCATGCTGAGTCAGCCACGGCGCACACAAGAAGCTCAACCGCGGCCGCTCTCCATCATTCCTGCAACCATCTCTTCATCCTCGCAGAAGTGTGAGTACCCCCTCCCAGCCTGCACTGGTTGCAGCGCTTTGTCGTCCAGCTGGGCCAACAGTGACTGACTGACTGGTATCAGTTTCGAATTCTCTTCGAAGATGAGAGCCAAGTGGAGAAAGAAGCGCGTTCGTCGCCTCAAGCGCAAGAGAAGAAAGATGAGAGCTAGATCGTGAGTGCTATTCAAAGCAATGAGCAAATCAAAGCAAACCGGCAATCAACTAACCAATTCTGCAGCAAATAAATGACTCGCCCACTCCATCTCAGCTCTTCATGTGAACGCTCAGTTTGAACGCTAAACATGACAATTGCGACGACGTCACGATGATGATTCCAGTTATGATCGTTACGTGGTTCGGTATCTCAATCGAGGCCTGTCTGGTCTGCCACAACATTCTCGGTGCAATCGACTTCGGAGCCCGCCGTTTCATCTACACATCCAATCCCTCGGGCTCGTTATAACGTTTTCGATCTTCTCTTGATTTCCTTTTGATCCAGACAGTGGGGGTGCGAGTGCCGCATCTTTTCCTTCGGAGGTACGAATGTGTTTGGTGGGGTTGGAAGGCATGGTGGAAGAGTCGAATGGTCTTTCTGTATTCCTGTACTATCTTACTCTTTGCCATTGCCGATGAGCTTTGCGTGGGGACTGGTCAATTTCTCGTGTCCTGGGTTCTATTGGGGAAATCCGATAGAATTCCGGGCCATGGAGAGGTCATGAGAATTTATTCCAAATACCAAAAAGTTTACGACGCACATGATGTTCCCAGTAAATCTTCAAAACCACTGTAGCATGATCTTGTAGAAAAACAGTACTCGAAGATATCCAAAATTATCAATCAGACTATAATGATAGGACCATATTAAACTAGGAAGATTGTGTGCGCATGAAGGCTTACCTGCCCGCCCTGGAGTCTTCTCCGCCTTCCGCTCACAGCCCGCCTGACCGCCTTCAACTTTTTTTCGTGGAATTTTCCCTCCACCTGCCCGATAATCTCCCTACCAGTCAATTCTCTCTCCGCGGCGTCGCATTTTCCTTCAATTCCTTATCCAGACATAATGCCGTCCGATAAGGTCGAAAAGAAGCGCAAGCGCGCCTCCGATCGCCATGAAAGGCCTAGCAAGAAGCCCGCGCTCGAGCTGCAAGATCTGCCTCCGCTGGCCTCCAGCGTCGTGGAGGATGATAGCGAACTAGCTCCGGTGATCAGTATGCTGCACCTTTTTTACACATGCCCTCACTGCCCTCATGGCACGGTCATATGGTATGGGAATAATCTAATATAATGCACTTCAGTCACTACTCCCGGTCTCAACGCTCCGCGCAATCTCCGCCTCAACCCATATCTCAAGACCCGCAGCAAAACCTCCTCCTCGTCGTCACGGAACAAGGGCATCGTCTCGTCCGAATTGCTGCTTCAGTCCTCCGAGCACCCCAAGCTGGACTTCGTGGGTCGCGAGGCCGAGGAGGATGCCGACTCCCAGCTCAAGCACTACGTCGCGGTCGTGGACCCGGAGAACAAAACCTGGCAGTTCATCGAAGTGCGGAAGATGACCCTGCGTGGCGCTGTTCGCAAGATGAGAGCGATTGACGAAGAGTCAGAGGAGGAGAGTGAAGAAGAAGAAATGGTTCGCTCAATCCTGTCCTCCATGATCTTCACCGGACATTGGCTGACCCTCCAACCCCCACTAGAAAACCATGCGCGCTCAAAGAACAGAACTCACCAACACCTTCGGTACCAAACAATCTCGCAAGGCCGCTCAATCGCTTGCCGAAAACGCTCAGCTCTCCAACGTGCCCTCAGGCGCTGCCTCCGCCGCCGAAACCGCCATCCTGGGCGCCATGCCCGCCGACGCAGCCACAGATATCGCCTCCAAGGCTGCCGCCCTGCAAGCGCAGGTTCAAGCCGCGAAGCCTCTGCCCCAGGCCAACCTGGACGCTGCACACCCGTCAGAAGTCTACCCGCTTGATGTCCTCGTCCCCAACGGCCTGGCCACCCTGCGTCAACTCCCCAACGTCAAAGAATGGCAAGACAGCGTTAATTCCGGCGCCGCCGTCAACACCACCTCGCGGTACGTCTCCCGCCGCGTCGAAGCCGTCGCCCTCTCCGGCAACACCACCCACCTCCAGATCCTCCGCTTCATCCTCCTCCTCTTGGAACTCGCCCGCGGTCTCCGTCCCGGCCGCGACAAGTCCGCCGGCCCCGGCAGCAAGCGTCTCCCTCCCCGCGAAGACCTCCGCCGTATCCTCTCCGGTGGAACAATCAGCGAGAACTCCGCCAGCGGCGACCAGATCGCGGACCCCGTCATCGACGCCGTGCGCCGCAAATTCGCGCCCCAGGGTGCTTCCCTCTCCAAGAACGACATCACCTTCCTCCACACGACCATCTGCGCCCTCTCGCTGCACATCCCGCCCCAACCTTCCAAGGACGGTGGTAACAGCTCCGCCGGCGGAAACGCCCCCAACGAGCTGGCTACCGATCCCTCGGATCTCCGTGATGATCTGCGCCTCGATAACGTGGCGATCACGCAGTATTTCCGCGAGTTGGGTTGCCGCGTCGACAAGCCCCGCGAGTCGGAGTTTGCTAAATGGGGTATTAAGGGTGGTAAGGCCGAGGCTGCGGCTAGACGGGTTGCTAGGTTGAAGATTCCCGTTGAGTTCCCGAAGGTTAGTCGTGGTGGTGGACGGAGGTAGTGGATTTGATGGCGAGGGTTTGTTTGGGTGTGATTGATTGATTGATTGATTGTAAGTTAGCATTATTTCTCTGTATGTATGGATGGATTGGCAAAAGAACGTCGATTTTCTACTTTCTTCAGCTGAACCACTTGGGTTTGTTCAAGAACTTGCAGTAGTTTGTAGTTTACTTGTAGATAAATAATTACTTCACCTCGATGTCTCCTAGGTAGATATTACTAGTAGTACTAACCTATTCGATGCACATCTGGTGTCTTGGAAACCAATTGTGCAGTATGTTACGACATGACATAATATGGTAGGAAGTATATAAATACTACTTGGATATATAGTTACCCTACGTCTCTCAATCACTAAGTATACTTAGCAAGGATTCCGGACTGCCAACTCACTCCACATGACTTAAGTAACAGCGATGAAAGTGAAGACTAATAACTAAGTACGATCAGTAGTACTAGCTTCAATAGTAGTAGTAGTAGTAGTAGTAGTAGTAGTAGTAGTAGTAGTAGTAGTAGTAGTAGTAGTAGTAGTAGTAGTAGTAGTAGCCTCTGCACTCAACTATATCCTGACTGTATTCATTGTGTGTAAATACATCATCTACACTACGAAGTTACTCAATATTCACCACCATTATGCATCCAAGGTCCATTGCACTTTTAATAAGTTCTTTTTCTTCCTTTCTCTTCATAAATTACTTATTTATGCACCTACTTCTACTAACTAACCATGATGTAATAGGTATTTCTCCTACTACTACTACTACTACTACTACTACTACTACTAAGTAGTAGTAATTGACAATAAAACTTGATACTACAATGAATAACTCAATCTCCCTCTCTCTCTCCGCGCAAATATCGATGATTTAGTATTAAACTACACACTTGTCAGTAAGTATATTGACTTCTGCTGAAGTGGATATGATATCATCGAGTGTGATGATGACATGTACTCCAACCCATAATAAGTCATTAGGGGTGGGTGTTCTGATCTCATTTTCCCATAAAGCCAGCTGGTCATCCGTAAGGCTTTTACAGGAAGCTTCATGCTATCTGTCCTCTTTGAAGCTGGCCAAGTCTTCAAAGGTACATTGTTTACAGGAAGACTGTATGACATCGAGGGCTGTGCTGATTGGTAACTACTATGTACAGTGACGGCTCTGACATCGAACATTCTCTTTCATTTTTGGTATAGTTGTCTTCAATGGGCGAAGGCATGGTACATACTACATCTACGATAATACTAGGAAAATTGTTGGAGCATAATGAGGAATAGACATGATCATTCGATCTAGAACCCAAAATCATCGGTAACGACTGGCCGGTTCCATGTGTCTTTATCCACCTTCATATTTCATATTATAGTAGGCAAATGTCCAGAGTCTGGTCATATGGTCATGCTGGGGTTTGATCCGCCAGCAGAGGGAGAATAGTAATAATAACGATCAACTGTGCTGGATGTGGTAACATCCAGACCACCACCTTAATAGCCTAAACCGGATAGGCTTAAGCGGCAGCCACTCCCACGGGGATCGAGGCAGTGGTGGCAGCGGCAGGGCGCACCGGAGTGGCGGTCTGCATGCGGGAAGCGGCCTGGGAGAGCGCCTCGGCAGCGGCAGTCTGGAACTCCCGTGTCACGGCAGCTTCGACGGTCTCGCTAGGCTGCAGGCCCAGCTGCGCGTCCTCCCAGATGGGCTGGTTGGCGGCCTCGGCACCCTCGACGCCCACGCCGACGAAGCCACCCTGGGCCTCCCAGTCACTGGCGCGCTTGATGCCCAGGTCGTTCCAGACGGTCTGCAGAGCCTGCACCAGATGGTCGCGGTGCTCCTTGACGTGGCCGGGGGTGGGGGTGATGCGGAGACGCTCCTCGCCGCGAGGCACGGTGGGGTAGTTGATGGCCTGCACGTAGATGCCGTGCTCCTCGAGCAGCTTGTCCGAGGCCTGCTTGGCCACCTCGGCATCACCAACGAGGAGAGGGATGATGTGGGATGGGTTGGGAATCACCGGGATGTCCAGCTCCTTGAGTGATTCCTTGACTGCGCGGGTGTGCAACTGCTGCAGGACGCGGTCGCGCTGGTGCTGCGCCTGGTATTTAATGGCGGTGTCCGCTCCAGCCATGGTAGCCGGGGGCAGAGAGGTTGTGAAGATGAAGCCGGGGGCGAGAGAGCGGATGGTGTCCACCATGGCCGCCGATCCGGCAATGTAGCCACCAACGCAACCATACGCCTTGCCGAGAGTACCAGTGATAATGTCGATACGGTCCATGACGGTTCCCTTGGTATCACGAGGGTTGGCCGTATCCTGAGAAGCGTAGATGTCGTAGTCGAGGTGCTCAGCCACACCCGCACCGTGAGGTCCGTACATACCCACGGCGTGAACTTCGTCGAGGAAGGTGATGGCACCGTACTTGTCGGCCAGATCACAGATCTGTTCGATCGGGGCAATGGAACCGCACATACTGTAGACGGATTCGAAAGCGATAATCTTGGGGACGTTCAAAGGAAGAGATGCAAGTTTGGTTTCCAGATCGACCAGGTCGTTGTGCTTGAAAACCATCTTCTTGGCTCCAGAGTGACGGATACCCTGGATCATGGAGGCGTGGTTGAGGCTGTCGGACAAAATGACACAGTCGGGCATCTTACTGCCCAGAGTCGCCAGAGTCGCATCGTTAGCCACAAAGCACGAACTGAAGACCAGCGCAGCCTCTTTGTTGTGGAGCTTGGCCAAAGTGCCTTCGAGAGCGACGGCATGCTGGTTGTGACCGGAAATGTTGCGAGTACCTCCGGCACCAGCTCCGTAGTTGTCCAGGGCCTGGTGCATAGATTTCAGCACCTCGGGGTTACGACCCATACCGAGGTAGTCGTTGGAGCACCACACGGTCACCCTCTCTTCAGGAGAAGCGGTGTGGGCACGGGGGAACTCCTTGGCCAGGCGATTGATGTTGTTGAAGTAGCGGTACGATTTGTCCTTGTGTTTCTTCTCAAGCTCGCCCTGATAGAATGCATTGTAGTTGAAGGGCGTGGCGTTGGGGGCATGGGGACGAGGGCCGGGCACGGTAGCGGCGGACGGT